TCGGCTTGTTTCTAGAATTTATCAATAATGATCTCCAGCTTAGCTAGGGTTTCACCATCTTGATCTCGCAGTTTTCGAAAGGACTCTCCGGGTCAGTAACATTTTCCTCGTCTTGCCCCTGCATCCTTTGCCTCCAAGTATTCTTTGACCACGGCTGGGCTTCTGAGCTTTTTATCTCTTTGTATTATAATCCCTTTGTCCATTAATGCAGATTATTCATGTTTAACAAACACATTTTTGGTGGATCAACACCTCGTTTTAAATGATGCGAAAAATAGAATAAAAAAATAAAAGGGGTTAGTGAGGTAAATCAAAATAAAAATAAAAAATCCTACCCCACATGATAATCTACCCGAACATGCTTAATATTCCTACACATACATGATTTCTATCCCGCATGCTAATTTCAAACAAATCCTAGCCGCATATTTGTCTAGTTCGCATGCTTTGAACAGAAAATAAAGCAGGAAACAAAGCATCCTAGGGTTTGGAATGAGGTCTTGGGGTGAGCTCTAATTCCCTGCACTCTCCCGGTTTAGGTTCTAAAAAGGTACTCGAGTTCTCCTTGCCGGTGTCCCATTGGGCTTGCCAGACCCTTAGTCCTAAGCCTATTACAAGCTTGTGTGGACTAAGTTAAACTCGAGAGGACACATTCCCTTATGGCCGCACGGTGAATAAATTCACACGAAGACATAAGGTATATGAATCCCGAAGGCTACTTGCTAGGCATATGCGGTGAATAAATTCACACGAATGCGTCGCTTTCACCCCCACTTAAAACGGGTTCGGAGCTCGGGTTTAGAGCTTAGAGATGACAATTTTGAAAAAATCTGAAATCATTAAAAAACATCAGTACAACTATTTATTTGAAACAAAATAATCAAAGATAAATAATTGGAATCGAATAAATAAATTAAAATTAAAATTTAACATTTTCGCATAAAAAGACAACCAAAAATTAATTTCGGCCTGACTCACTTACCTGTCCCCAGTGGAGTCGCCAAGCTGTCGGAACCGTCTTTCGGTCGGGCCCCGGAATTGGGCTTCGACTTGAAAAATGTGGATTGGAGTCGCCACCGATCATTTATTTTAAAATAAATGGGTTGATCGGATACCCTATGTCTTACCTGATCTGCGTTTTACCAGAAATGTGTTGGGTTCGGGAGTCGGTTACGGTCAAGGAAGGATTAACACCCTTGAACCGCCCTTTCGATACCAATTAATTTACCGGTTGTCTTAATTGCGAAAATTAAAAATTTAAATTAGAATTTATGAATTAGATTATAATTATTTACCTCTTGATCAATTAAAATTATCCTAAAAAGATCATTAAAAAAGTTAGTATTTTTAAAAAATAAATAAATAAATAAAAGGAATGAAAGAAAATCCAAGTGTAAGAAAACATAAAATAATAGCTAAAAATAAACAAAGATAAAAATGCAAAAAATAAGAAAAGCAGTACCAAATTGGGAATTAACAGTTACTAAAATAAAATAGACAAAAAATAAAGTGTCAAAATTAGAAATAAACAAAGCCAGAAACATGTAGTGGCTAAATTAAAAATAATGAAATTAAAATGCCAAAAAGTGAAATAAATAAAATGTAGAATTTTAGGTACCAGAATGTAAAAAAACAGTGACATTTAAGGGGGTTTAACGCAATTTTTACGCATATATTTTGGGGTCATTATGCAAAACACGGTAGGAATTGAGGGGACTTGAATGTGAATAAACCAATACTTTAAGCGACCAAAGTAAAAGATAACTACAAATATAGGCACCCTATGTCATATTAACCCAAAAAACCAAATTAAAAGCACTCATCTTTCTATCTTAACTCCAGATCACGTGAACCAACAAATATCCCTTTCCTTTTTATTTCGTGCGATGGAAACAGATCCCTAACCTTTCACAAATCTCGCAGTGGCCGACTCCCAAAGGCTCCTAGCCCGCGTCGCCTCGGTTAAGAACCTTTTCGTCTTTTTTATTTAGCTTCGAGATTGGTACAAAAGCTTCGATCTCCTTGGTATTCCTTCGTATTGTTTTGTGCAATTTCTAGTGTAAATCGTGTGATTTTGCTGGAAAGCTTCTGTGTTATTCACTGTTTTTTTGCTCGAGTATTTCGTATGTATGGGTGTAGAAAAAGCTTGCATTTCGTATGAAATCTCTGTGTTCCTTACAGAAGGGATTACAATGTATTTATAGTGTTCATGTACTCCTATTTTTGGGTATTTAAATCCTAGTAAAATACTAACGCTGGTGTGTTGATAATGGTCGAGATTCTCGGAGATAGTTGCGTGCGCACGGCGGCTGTTAAGAGTCCTCACATATGAGGGTTGCTGCGCTGGTGGAGAGGCGATAGAAGTCTGTTGGGCTTCACGTGTTTATGTTTCTGGGCGAAATTTGGTATCTTCAAACACCTCATAGACTAACTTAGAGGTGATTATCCCAACTCAATTTGCTTCATTTGCAATGTTATAATTTGAACTCTCGATGATCTTTTAAGATACATTGCACCTAATATAATAACTTGTAGTTGATATTATTTTGATTAGATAAGATTTAAGATAGAAAGCAAGATGTAATTATTTCCTAAATATGTCATTAGCATTTTAAATATTGGTGTGATTAGTGAAAGAAAATATAGAATCTAATCATCATGAAAAATAGTGGGGTTGGGAAGAAGAAAATTAAAGTAATTAAAGCAAAACTTGCATACATTATGATTTAATAGGAAAACGTGGTGTGATTAAGCATAATCAAATAACAAGTTTAATTCTACTACTACTACTAATAATAATAATAATAATAATAATAATAATAATAATAATAATAATAATAACAAGTTTAATGCTTCATTGTGAAGGTTGGAAACCTTTGTTTGATGAGTCTTGATTAACCTTATTCACACTTTATTATATATAAAAAATATTAAACCAACTTTCTTTCAAGTTAAATAAAAAAATGGCATTAAAATATCATTCATTAAATACTTCAAGAAATATAAGAAAAGGGCATTACAATTTTGTCTTCATATTGCCTTTTGAAGCTAAAAGTATCATAAACATGCATCTTTTCATATTGTTCATAAAATAATAATGGGTAAATTACACCGAAGATCATTAAATCATGTAAAAATGATCTTTTAACTTAATGACCATCTAAATGTTATAAAATAATTATTAATTTTCTCAAACGATTATAAAATAGTCTTAAAATTTATCAAATTATTACAAAATGATCTTTATGCTTATCGAAATATTACAAACACATCTTTAAATTATTCAAAATTTAATGTTAGAATATCATTTTATCCGATAATAAAATTAGGTCGAGAGTACTTATGACCACGTGGTGTGAACCTTCATTTTGCCTAAGTGGAAAGGTTTTCCTTTTAAACTATGTTTCCTCCCACCTCAAATGATTGCAAGAGTGTCCCTATATTTTGTATATATTTGTGTGTGTATATAAGTTCAAAGATGAGTTTTTTAAGCCTTTTTTTCTTTAGAATAAAACACAAAGAAACACTTTGGGTTCCATCAAAAAATCATTGTGCCACATTTGATGTATCTATTTGATAAAGACATGCTGATTTGAGAAAGATAATTAAACTAATGAAAAGATTTCAATACGACAATGGATTAATGTTGGGGGAGAGAAGAATCTTTAGCTTTATGTGAATCATGATCTTCCACTCCCTTGCAATTATATATATCTATTTATATATATTACTATATAAGACATAGAATCTGTTGGCGGACAACGATGAACTGAGAGGGTATCAGAGATGAGCATAAGATTTGGATTCCATAAATTTTATAAGATTGAATTTTTAAAATTAGATTTTGGTAGAGTTAAAAAAAATTAAATGATAAGGTCAGATATGGTCGAGTTTGGATTTACGATAAAAAAATCTCTAACCTAACTTATCCCTTATATATTTAGAGAAAATTATAATAATATCTTTCTCCTTATATTTTTTTCTTCAATTATGTATCTATTTTACCTTAAAAAATGAGAATTATATAATATATATTTGTGTCGAGTCGGGTTGGGTCAAATGAAGATTTTTATCTAAAAAATCAGGTCGAATTTCAGGTCCGACGAAACCTCCCTAAACCCAAGTCAAATTAGGTGACGGGTGGAGAGGCAGGATACTCGAGTCAGCTAAAACTTGACCTAATCCATCCACATCTCTAATTATACCTCTTGAAAATTTTATAATTTCATATATTTAAATTTTGGTATAATGGCAATAAACGTCTTTAACGTCTGACTGAATAATCACTTTAGCCTATATTCTTAATTTTAGTGTATCTTGGACCCAACGTTTCATTTTAAAGCGAACACATTTGCCGCGATAGAATTTTCAGTATTTTGAATTTAGCCTCCCAAACAAACCATAATTTACGTACCAAATCAAAACCAGAACACGCTCTCTTCGAAGCTCGAAAAGAAAGCAATGGCTACTTCACCATCTCAGCAGGTTGATAATCTGTCTCTTCCTCCGCCTGCGGCAGAAGAAGCTGAATCTCCCCTCTCTTCTCTCATTTATGGTTAATTCTCTTTCATCTTTCTCCCTTCGTCCGATTATTACTTTCGCTTCTCTTATCATTTCAAACTGCTTTCCATATTATCTTTTGTTACTTGATTTCTCCTTTCAACCATCGCATGTTCTAAATATTCGCGTTTAACAAATGCATTTCATTATTGTTTACCAGCGTGATTCAAATTGTTTAAGAAACGGCGTGCAAACGTGGAGTTCTTGGCTTGAATCAGTTTTAAATTGGATAATTAATTGTTTATTTCTTGAGATCGCATGTTTCCCTCTCATTTTCTGTGGATTCTGGACATTTTCCAGGATGATAAGTTGAATAGATTTCACTTCTATGAACACGTCCTTGCAATTCTTTTACAATTTTATTTTCTCCTATCGTGTTGTTTTCTTATATTTATTTACCTCGCACAATAATAATCGGTAACTTCTATTTAATTAATACAGATTTGTCACAACATGTTCAGATGGCAATGGAGAATATGCTTAAGATGATAAAGTAAGTGAGTCTTTCTTTGTTACATCATCAGTGAATTGAATCTTTCTTTGTTACTTCATCAGTGAATAATAGCGATGTGGAACTTAATTTGGGAATAATGGAATAATGGATCGAAACTCTGTTATTTCTCCTAACATTATATTCTGTTTACCTTTTAAATTAATTTCTGCAGTGAAATTGATCAAAACTCTTCGGGAATACTGGAAGATGTAGAGAAGTGCAAAGACTCAGCTCTTGAAAGGAAGAAAAGTTTGGAGGAAGAGAAGGAACGGTTCCAGAAAGCTGCATTCACCGTTTTGGACATGCTGAATAGCAGAGAATGAAAACTGTAAGCTCTATAATTTCCATCACCACCTTCTCATTACTCTTATGGGGAACCTAATAACTAAAGATGGGTTAATATTGGGCATTAATAAATGCCACTCTACCATTATCATTGAAGCTAAAACACAATTGGTAAATATGCATTGCCTCTGTCACAAACAGTGGACATAGAAAGATCCATTCATATACACATGCAATTGTATTGCAAATATTTTTCTTCTTAAGAAATGTCACGCGACATAACTTACATACGTATAATAATAATCTGTTAAACAGATCAAAGTATGGATCACTGATGAATACAATTTTAACGTTTATACAATGAATAAGTGATCATCTTCTCTCAGAGCATTAAGTTCGTCAAGTTCTGAGCCATCCGCCATAAGAATAGTGCTACCTCTCTTTCCCAGTTTCTTTTCTGCATTAACCAGATATAACCAAATTCAGCGTCCTCCATTGATGATCACTTATACCTCTTTTATTTTTTATTCGTGAAGTGTAGAGCATACTGGTTTCCTCTTAAGTAAGTTTACTAACTTGCCAACCATATATTAATGAAATTAATTTAACTAGAAGTGTTAACATATATGTTAAGTGCTTTTAGTGGCTTAGGCCAATATTGTCATTAAAAAAGTTTAGCGAATTGACGTTGGTGAAGAAATATTTAGGGAAATGACGTGAATTCTACCGTTGCATCCGGTCGTTCGGCAAAAACCGCCAAACTCGTATGATACTCATTTGGGTTTCTTGATCAATGATCAGAAGGTTTCTTCATGGTCATATCTTCTGATTCTAATCTATGGTAGATATGCAGCAATTCTTCATCTGCTTTCTTCAGACTAGAAATAATAGATTTTGATAACTGAGCATCTAGTTAAATTATTGATATCTCATTCCTAGATTCGGTATATTTTACTTTGTAAAATAAACAATTTCCTACTTACTGCAGAATTTTGTCGAAGGTAATAGAATAATAAGAGTCAAATCCGTCATCTTAGAGAAATCGAGGCCAAAGAGAGCAGTTTACTTGTAAACCTATCACTAGCCCGAGACATTATCTTTGAGGCTATTGGTTTGATACAGAGGTGAAGGACTATGTTTTTACTATAATGTCATCATATTTCAGATTGATAATCAAATAAGGCATCTTCGTTTGCTTCTATGTTTTGTACTTCTAAGTTCTCCAATCATTATGAAATACATTCTCGTCGAAGAAATATCATACCTGATCCATTCAGTTCTTGTATGTCACCACATCCTGCAATTTCAGAGTTTAGATTTTGCTTACGAGGTTAGGAAAAAAATGCAAAAAATGCATAATACAGAATGATGCTTAACCACTGCTCCCAATACTACAATGTAGGTCTTTTCAACGGTTTTACGAAAGAGGTGTTGGGAAATGGTGGATCTTATTACTATAATAGAATGTAAGTCACTGTTTTTTTTATATTCGATCACATTTCTAAATTTTAAAATTTCATCAATTCATTTATTTGATCAATGTTAACATTTAAATCTAATAAAAAATTTATTAGTTGATATCACATGTCATATTACCGTTAAATTTGTAAATTTTACGTTAAGACCTAACAATTTAAATTGGTCAAAGGATATTTAAAAAAATCAAAATAATTATTCCAATTTGATTTAAAAATTGAATAACTCTATAAATTTATTCAGTTAATTCTAGTTTTGATTCTTTTTCATAAATTTATCAAAAAAAATAACACTTAAAGGTCAAGTGATATAGAAGAGTTGAATTTGAAAACTTAAAGATGAAATTGAAAAATTTTAAAGTTAAGTGACTCAAACAAAAATATGATAAAATCTCATTATGAAAAAGAAAGCCGAATAGAAGCATTTTATTGCTTTGGTTAGTTTACGGTCTCCAAATTTCAAGATTTCACCAGACAATAGCTGCGGAAACATGGCAACAAGCAGCAGAGAAAGTCGGCGCCGGAAAATCCTCGAAAGAGGATCCGATCGTTTGGCTTTTATTACGGGTCATCTTCAAAATCTCTCTCCTCCTCCTCACTCTGAAAACCAAATCGACGCCAACCCTCCGCCGCCGCCGCCGTTGGTCCCCCTCGCTCAAGATCCGCCACCCGACTTCCCAGGTCAAAACGCCGGTACCCTTTTTCTCTCCCCCCCTCGATTTTCATTTTTAGGTATCTTTTCAGTTTATTTTGTCTATTGAGGATCAGGGTTTAGTTGAATCTTAGCAATTGAAGATTGAAATTTAAGATGTTAGTTGGATTTAGGATTTGGGAAAACTAGTCGAAGTATCTTCTATGGTTTAGGTTCTGGAAAGAATTGAGCTTACTTCTCGTAAGCGCCGTTAAACATCATTGATTAATGTATGAGGTACTGAAATAACGAACAAATGTTCTTAAAGATACTAATACCAATGCTTTTGCTGATGGATTCATGTTATTTTGATTCTAGTACCGATAAATATTCCACAATTCTTGTTTTTATGAATCTTTTGAAAGGTTGTACTTGTTTCAGTTTGTTATGTCTTTATACTTTGATGGGTCTATTAAGGATGGAGGTTTAGTTGAATCCTAGCAATTGAAAAATTGGGTTTATAAAGGTAGCTAAATTTTGCAATAGGAAAGCTACTCAAAGTTTCTTCCAAGGTTTAGCGTTTTGGGTTCTGGAAAGCATCGGACTTGTTTCTTATATACGCCATCAAATATTCTTCATTAATGTCACCATGTTACTGAAATATTGAATAGAAGTATCGAAGAATACTAATGTCAATGGTTTTGTTGATGGATTCTGTTTTCTTTTATTAATTGGTTTTGGGTTTCTACTACTACTAGTATCCTTCTCCCTCCCTCCATTCAGATTTTTATGCATCTTTTGGAGGGTTGTTTCATTTATTATGCATTGATAATTGGATGGGTTGGTTAAGGATTGATGTTTAGTTTAATTCCTGCAATTGAAAATTTGTATTTAGAAAGGGAGCTTAATTTTGCGTTTGGGAAAGTTAAAGTCTTTTGCGAGGTTTAGCTTTCTGGGTTCTGGAAAGCATTGAGCTTGCTTCTCATAAGTGCCATCAAGTATCCTTCAAGTGCCACCAAGTTACTGAAATGATGAACAAAGGTTTTGAAAGATACTAATACCAATGGTTTTTTTACTCTTTTTTTTTAAATGGATCCCAATGTTTTTTTGATTAATTGCTTTTGGGTTTTTACTAGTACTCTTCTTCTCTCTCCCTCCACTCTGATTGGTATGCATCTTTTCAAGTTTTTTTCTTTTTTTTGAGTTTATTATGCATTAAAAATTGGATGGGTCAATTGAGGATCAATGTTTAGTTGAATCCTGGCAATTGAAAATTTGAAATTAGGATGGTAGCTGAATTTTGCATATGGAAAAGCTAGTCTCTTCTCAGGTTTAGCTTTTTGGGTTCTTGAAAGCATTGAACTTGCTTCTCATAAGCGCCTCAAATATTCTTGTTTGGTATCTCTAAGTTACTGAAATAATGACAAAAGTTTTGAATAGATATTAGTACCGATGGTTTTGTTGATGGATTCCTTGTTCTTTTGGTTAATTGCTTTTCGGTTTTTATTGCCATGCAGTTTCTCCTGATGTCCATGATGAAGCCTCAACTTCTGTGCTTCTAAAAAATAATCCTAGTTCTGATTCTAATCACAGTCAGCCCAGCGCTTATAATGGTGGAATTGGTGAAGGATCAACATCCCACAGACGAGATAGAAGCATCGGACCTTCAAATGATTCTGCGTTGAATACAAGTGGTCAAACAAATTCACTGCCGGTTTTATCAGATGACCAAGTTTCATTGATTTCCACGTCAAGGACAGTACATCATTCAGAAACACCAACTCGAAAACATAATTTTTTCACACCTAAGCAAGTAAGTTCTGCAATTGATGCATCTGAGCAAGCACGCCTTTTTTGTTCAGTGATTGTGGCTGTTTTAGTTGTTTTGGTACGCTTGGGGTTTCCTCATCTAGGAACCAGATTCTTAGGGAACATTATCAGCTTCAGGCCACTCTACCTCATTCTGTTGACCAACGTAACACTCGTGATGGGGCGACTTCTTCTCGGGGATCACGTAAGTTCACGAAAAGTCATTCCAGAAGAGAACAAACCCTCCTCTGCCGCCGACAATAATTGGGCCGAGCAATTAAGCAAGACATTGGAGGTAGGATTGGTGGCAAAGAAGGCGATTGATGCGTTGTTCATGGATTGTAGTGTATATCTCATAATTGTCATATGTGGCCTCTCATTCACATGACAATTCAGCAAAGCATATTTCTTTCGATTAGTGTCTTTATGTGTTGGGGATTATATTGTATCCTTTTGGCCATAGTATTATCTTTGGTGTACTTGTCAGTTTATACTTTTGTATTTCAATGCCATCTTAAATGAAGTTTTGGGTTGTATTTCCTTTGTTTAATACTACCAACTGAGATTTCTGAAATTAAGGTAAATTACTATTGAATTTAGTTTTTTATATGAATGTTGGTTTGTATTATATGATATGTTTAATCTAGAAAGCTAGCTCTCTATTTATAGGGATTTCCTTCCAAGAGAGATTTACTCAATGTATGTACATATATATATATATATATTCAAATTTAAACCGATAATAATATATTTTAATTTGAAATATCTAAAATAAATAGATACTTTTTATTATTCAAATTAAATTGATAAATATATTTTAATTTGAAATATTCAAAAATGAATATGAATTTAATTTAAATGTTTTTTTTGAATTGAAGAAAGAAGATATCAAATTACATCACCTAACATCAACCCGTAGATAGAGAGGTCCATGAACATCCCTTAATGCTAGATCAAGGATAGTCGCAGGTATAGAATCAAGCATAGTGATGTCGATTGAACTCGAAAGACCCATTTTGGCTAAACCATCCGCAACTCTATTAGCTTCTGGTGGAATCCATTGAATACATGTTGCCCATGCTCGTTTTCTTAAACTTCGAATTGCTCGAACCAAGGAACAATGATCAGCACTATCATCATTTGAACTCATCATATTCACAGCAGTAAGACAATCGGATTGAAGAATTATTTTTCATATCCCTTGTCCCATGCAATGCTTCGGATTGGAGAGGTGAGCAGCAACCAATCGAACGCATAAATCCGAGGAGCCAGTTACCCTCACAGTCAAGCATGGATCCCCCTGCGGCACTTCGCAACGAACCATTTGCAGCAGCACCATCTGTGTTAACACATATCCACCCTGCCAAAGGTTTCTCCCATCGCACTGCTCTTTCGATGCTTTGCGAAGCTTCACCATAGGGACGGAAACAGGTTTGAAAGTTCCTCGCCCAAGCTAGAGCTCCAACGATGAGGCAATGGCAGTCGTAGACGCAGTCCTAATCAACTTGCGTTTCGTTGGAATACTTGCTAAACCAATCCACTAGCTTTCTTTGGAACACTTGCTGAACCCCCTAAGTTTACATCTGACAGTCCATTCCGCAAAGTGGCATGCAAGTTTTTATTAAAGTTATCGGATTTTTTTTAACGGAGTATTTTATTTTTATTTGTATCTTTGGGTATTATTATATGAATTTTGTTAGACTATTGTCCCATTTTTTCTTTCTATGATTCGGTACGTTATAATTATAATTCATTTTATCATTTTTATTAATGAAATTCAATTTTTATTATTTTAAAAAAGGTAAAATAACAAGTAAATATTTCTATAAACAATATCCTAAAAATTGGTAAATAATCCTTAATCTACCTCAACATTTTTAATATTTTTTAAGCAATAGAAAATTAATTATTTTTACCACCGCATGCGTGGCCCAATTGGCAAAACAAGGACTCTTGGGATTATGAGTTGGTCTCATGTCCTAGGTTCGAACCGCGTTGGCTGGGAATCCTGGAAAAAAGCGGGGGACAGAGTGGTGGGTTCTTTGAGCCCCTCCGGAGGTTGCCTTGTAGGGTCGGGTTCTTTAACCTGGCATTGAGAGGTCCTACGTTATCAAAAAAAATAATTTTTTAAAATTCAGGTTTTGGTTTAGTTGGTTAATTTTTTTTCTTTAAAATATGGATTCGAGTTGGGTCGGACTTGAGTTTAGAGTTACAAATTTTGACTTGACCCAACCCGGTATAATATTATAAATATCCCTAATATATTTAGAGATAAATACAATATTATTCTTTTTATATTAATTTTGTCAATTAAATTCTTATTTTATCTAATAAAAAGAAAATTATATATATATATGGTCAAGTTCTCATGAATAAAAAATAATTTTCAAACTAAATTTGAGTGAGAAAAAATTCGACCCGATCCGAACAACAACCTAAGCTAAATCCTTAATTTTCATATGTTTTGAGTAAGTGACTTGGACTATTCTATTCCGTTCTTTAGCGTTTTGGGTTTGGCCCAACTACTGTAACTTCCATGTTCCCCTAATCTGTGGTCAATAGGCCTAAAAGATGGGCCTAATTTTTATAATAAGGAAGAAGCACCCAAAGTTTTTTTTTTAATTTCCAATAAATATATATATTTGATATCTAAATTTTTATTTTAATGAGGTATTTACTTTTAAAAACTTTAATTCAATATTTAATGTTCTTTTAATCTAATTAGATACTTTAATTTATTTTTTAGTCCAATTAAATAATTGGTACTTGAACATGAATTTTCAATCCAAATTGATACTCATAGTAAATGATTTATTTAAACTATGAAATCAAATTCTTGTACCTAATTGAACCAAAAAAGAATTTAAGATATTAAACTGAACCTTGTGGTTAGGATGGCAACAAGGTCGTATGAGTTTGTGGTCATCTTTATCCTGATCCAAAACTTTAGGATCTACGTCTGACCTCAATTTGATCTCTATTTCAACATTATTTAATCTGACTTAGACTGACATAATGAGACAATAATATGATCACGATTAGATTTAAATATTTTAATAAAAGACTTGTATCGACCCATAATTAAAAAAAATAAGATTCGATCAGATTAAGTGACATCATAATCTATCGGAGTCGAAAAAGTCATCATCCTACCTAAGATAAGGTTTTGAAGTACTTAATTGAAAGAAAGAATTATACCAACAAAGTTTGAACGTTGATATATGAAAGTGACAATAAGAGAGCTTAATCACTTTACCCTTATGTTGTTAACAAAAAAGAACTCTTTTAAAATACACCCAATAATTGTACCCTTTTAGGTCAGTTGAAAGTGTTTATTTTAGGCTTGTAGGTTCTTCCTTTCAGTTCATATGTATATTCAGAATCTAACCTAAATTCTAAGTTTGAGCATAGGTTTAAATTGCTTGCATATGAAAACGAACGTAGAATTTTATGTTTGAGGACGAATTTATAAAATTACAAAGAGATTAAACTTATAATATTTTAGGAGACGCAAAAACATATTTTCAATTAAAAATATAAATAAAATATTAAAAAATATATATAAAAAATTAAAATAACATAGTATTTTTGTTCGATTTTAAATATGGATAAACTTATGCATACTTATATATAAAATTGTTCAAACACAAATCACCTAGGAAAAATAACATTTTCTTTAACATTTAGGGGGCGTTTGGATGGGGGAATGTGGGATTCCCCCGGGAATGGAATCCACATTCCCCCGTTTGGTTTGGCCGGTAATGTCATTCCCGGTAATGTTTTATTACCAATAGTGGATTTTTTGGGGTATATTATCGGGAATGTCATTACCTCCCTTCTCTTAGGTATTGTAACATTACCGGCGTTTTGGACTAAAATGCCCTTAAATTTTTATTTTTTTTCAAAATATCATTATTCTGTCATTAAATAATAAAAATTCTACGAAGGTTAAATTACAAATTTATCCTTAAATTATTTTAGATTTACAAAAAAAAAGTCTAAAATTAAAATTTTTTATGAAGTTCAGGGGTTAAAATAAAATTTTACCCTTTCATTAAACCTTTTTTTATATTTTTAATTTTGTAAAAAAATTATATAAATATTATGAATTTATTTTTTTGAAGAAAATATATAAATATTTTACAACTTGTAATATTATACAAATATATAATAAGGACAATTTGGTCAAATATACATTCCAATAATTTTTTATTCATTTAACCAAACACAGTAATCTTACATTCCTGCTAAACCAACCAAACACAAAATACAACATTCCCAGTAATCCTATTCCCTGGTAATCTTTTATTCCCACTGGTAATCTTACATTCCGTGAACCAAACGCACCCTTAGGGGGTGTTTGGATTGGGGAATGTGGGATTCCCATGGGAATGTAATCCACATTCCCCCGTTTGGTTAGCCCGGGAATCCTATTCCCGGTAATGTAAGATTACCAATAATGGATTTTTTGGGGTATATTACCGGGAATGTCATTACCTCCCTTTCCTTAGGTATTGTTGGATTACCGGCGTTTTGGACTAAAATGCCCTTAAATTTTTATTTTTTTTCAAAAATATATTTATTCTGTCATCGAATAATAAAAATTTTACGAATGTTAAATTACAAATTTATCCTTAAATTATTTTAGATTTACAAAAAAAAAATCTATAATTAAAATTTTATATAAAGTTCAAGGGTTTAAATAAAATTTTTACCCTTTCATTAAACTTTTTTTTATTTTTAATTTTGTAAAAAATATATAAATATTATGAATTTAATTTTTTTAAAGAAAATATATAAATATTTTCCAACTTGTAATATTACACAAATATATAATTAGGACAATTTGGTCAAATATACATTCCAATAATCTTTTATTCCTTTAACCAAACACGGTAATCTTACATTCCTGCTAAGCCAACCAAACACAAAATACAACATTCCCAGTAATGCTATTTCTTGGTAATCTTACATTCCCACTGGTAATCTTATATTCCGTGAACCAAACGCACCCTTAAATCAATGGTGATCCCAACTTCCAATTTTAAATGATGAGTAATTATGAAATTATTTACAAGATAAGTGATGAAGGTGAACTTATATTTAACTATATATATATATTTTTTGAAGTTCAAATAGAATAAAGTTCCCACTCTCTATCATTAGGATTTCAAATTGAGGTTGGGACAAAGTACACTAAAAGCCAAGTTCCCACGACTGTCTAATCAAAGCTTTGGGAAGTGATTAAAAAATTACAATATAAAGAAGCTTTGAAAGAGTGGAGGAAATGACCCATATGATTTTACGTGAATTTTTTAAAAAATCATATTAAAAATTTAAAGTGTAATATTAAAAAATATTTTTAGCTTTTGATTAAATAATTATTTTAATCTTTATTTTTTTAGTATTTTGACTCGATAATTTAATTTAAGAAAAAATGCTCTAACTTTTAATTAAATAATCACTTTAGTCTTTATTCTTTTTATGAAATATTTTGGTGATTTTAAGACAAAAAGTCCCTTATATTTAGAACGTTGACGGTTTGTTGAGTAAATGTTTCCTTTAATGGAGATGTATGCCTTTGAAGTCCTTTAGCCTCTCGGTCTCCGACTTTATACTTAGGAGTAAATTATAAATTTTATCACTAATTATTTTTAGGCTTAATACAAAATTAAGTATTTAAATTTTGTCTCGAAAAATATTTTAGTGAATAAAGAAAATTTTGTTAAAAATAATTGTCTAACGTTTTTTCAATTACACTTTTATGTGGCTACCATTATATTTTTAAAATTTTTAATAATAAAAATATTATTTAAAAAAACAAAAAAACTTCATTTATTTATAAAAAAAACTTAAAAAATTAATGAAAATTATAAAAAAACTCTAAAAAACTAAAATATATCATTTTCACCCATTATGAACCGTTGTCAGTCATCTCCGGCCACCATTATTGCCGCCAACTTAGATTTTGATCGGAATTACACGGTGGTTCGAATATTGGTGGTGGTGTTTTAATAGTTAGAGTATTCAAAATAATATTAATAGACTAATTTGGATATAATACTATAGAAACAAGAATAATTCTATTAATTTAAGTTATTAATTCATAAATATAAATGTTTAAACTTTTGATATTACTTAAAAAGTAAATGTTTTATCTTATTAAACCAACTAGATATCGATACATAGTGTTTTATTTATGATAACTTGTGGATATTAGAAAAATAAATTAAAATGGAGATCAAGAACGTGTGTTGCAACATGCATACGTGGCTAAATCTGTCGCCGCCAACTTATTTGGGTGTCTAAAACACTAGTTGAATAAGCGGCTAATACGTGGCAATGACCAACTTGCGTTGCCGGGTCAAACATACCCTAGAAAATTAGCTATGAAATAAGTCAAAGTATATGATTCTTTCACCTAAATATCACATAAAAAATTTAATTGAAGATAAAGTTAATACATATGTGATATCATTGTTGTTGTATTCATGTTTATGTGATATCGATCGATTACTTTAGATCATATACTGTAGAGACGAAAATGACCCCCTTAAATTAGTTTATTTCACTTGCAAATATCAAGATTCGAACATCTAACATTGTTTAAGGGATCTAGTATCTCACTCATTAGACCAACTGATTCTTATAGTGTAAATATGTAACTTAAACATGCATTACGTGTGTTTTTTTAATAATAACTGTATAAATTTTTCATAATTTTAGCATTTTTTTCATTTTGATTTAACTGTAGTCAGATAATATATATTATCAATAGTTTTGAAACATTTATCTCTAAATAATGTTAAATATTTAAATTTCAACGTCACAAGTAGAAAATGATAATATATTTTTATAATATTTTATTTATATTAAATGATGTATAAATCAAATATAAATAATTATAAAAGTAAATAATACTTTATGAGGTTAAGAAGCATATAAGTAATCGTTAACGTATTGCAACAAAAGTCTACACAATCTCTACAATCAAATTCATTACCATTTAAAATAAATAATATTTTATGAAATTAGCAAAGTATATAAGTAATCGGTAACGTAGTGCAATCATTAATATTGACGGTGGCTGTGCTATAACTGGTACTTATAATTTAATTAAATGTTTAATATAATAATTTTACGTTTAATTAAATGTATATTATATACACTGAAATTACGTACATAAATAGAGTAAAATATATTTTTTAATATTAGATTAAGAAAATAATTAGTAAAATACGAGGTAAAATAATACTGGATGAATATCAACATGTTGATATTTATAGACGTGAATGTTTCATCCATGCAAACGTGGAATTATGATAAATAAAGGAACTCCTCTATAGTCTATCTCCGTCATTATTCTTATTGTGAAATTAATATCATCAAACATGTGACAAGTTAATTAACTAATAGAATTTACCTATCAAATAGAATTTACGTATCAAACGATCTCAGTGATTAAAGATATAATTATTATTCTTCGAGGTCTCGTTGAGCATAACATTTATAGGGGTGTCTGAGTGTTTATTATCAAATGATTGAACATTTCGAACATATTATTATTCTTATAAGTTCCAATATAATGTCTACAAGGATGTTTGAGCGTTCATTACCTAATGGTTTAGCCTTTCGAACGAGACCATCGATCTTTCCTGATCATGAGGTAGAGACGCATCGTGATGAATGTAATATGAAACAAAAAACTAGCATAACGATAAACAAAATCATGTCATAAAAGTAGAACAATCGTATTATAAAAGTAGACTAAAACAAACGCTTCAAGAATATGTAGAAAGAATGAAATCAAAACGGGGAGAATATTTATTTAGATCTAAATCAAAAGAAAATTCAATAAAAACAATAATAAGAAAAAGAGAGACGATGATACTAAATCATAACTTAAAACGACACTATAAAAAAGATTTTAGGAACAACACATTGTTTTGGACAAAAGGAACGTTCAACCTAGAGAACTAAAAGACAAAAGCATCCTTCATCTTCATCTTCATCTTGAATTTGTTTTTCTAGTTAATACTTTTCTTTAACAACAATTCCTTTATGAATCATATCTTTTTATACTAGGAGTTCCTTCATTTAGGGTAAAAATGATTTAGTATTTTTAGAAATCAATATTATTAAATATAGTATATTATTAAATATCTTTTTATATTCATGTTGGTTCAATAGTTAAAAAAAAACTGGTTCAATAATTGAATGTTGTGCTTAGGGATGTATTTGACATTAATTTGACGAATTCTAACTTGACCCGATTTTATAGGATAATTCGTTTTGTTAAAATATTTGGGTTCAGATTGAGTTAGATTTTAGAAATGTGAAGTCTGACTGACTTTAGGGTCCAAAATACCTCACCCAAGAATAATAATTTAAGTAACTTTTGTATAATTTGAGATAGTTGCTATAATAATCCTCTATCTATATTTTTCGAATTAGGTCCCTATTTTACCTAATAAAAATGATATTATTTATATTTATATTTGTGTCGGATCGGATTGGGTCCAAATTTTTATCTTAAATTCGAGTCAGATTAGATGAGAGGATATTATACTCGAGTCAGATTCGGATGAGCCAAAAATCCAACACAACCAAACCCATAACCATCCTTAGTTGTGCCCTTCCCCTCCTAGTCCTAGGTTTGGGTCCCCTTCTTTCATTATATTTTCCCTTTTTTTTGAATGAAACTCATGGGCCTCGTTAAAAACCCCTTCTAAACCTAGTAAGGGGAAAAGAGTACCCAAATTATATTAATCAAAAATCAATGACATCGTTTTTAACATTCTGAACAATGATGTCGGGATAAACCGACTCAAAAAACAAAGAACCACCCGAATTTAAAGCCCAGCTGGCTAATACATGAGCAACATGATTACACTCTCTAGGAGTATACAAAATACAAAAACGAGGATGATCCTGAAAAATGGTACGAGCATCTTATTATATTTTCCCTTATTTTACTCTAACAAGATGGTGACATATGTCACAATCTTATTATATTAATTAATTTTTTAATTAGGATTAAATTAATAGAATATATAAGTTTTGGGGACTACGACTGTTATTATATCATGCTACGTCGCTTTCTCTATTAATTCAACAACCAAAATTAATATTTTATGATCAAAATAGAAACAAAGTCAACAATTAAAATTAATGATTCGTTGTCAAAATAGAAACAAAACATAATATTATGTTTGATTTTGTTAAAAGAAATAATTAGATAACCAAAATAGAAATACAGAAATAGATTATATACCAAATAAATGGTTTACCCTATAATTTGAATTAAAACTAAAACACGATAATCTCAAGTCAATGACAGGAACACAGTTGGAGCGCCATCCTTGTTGATCGGGTCCAATTTCCCTTCCATTCTTAATTTTCTTTTCATCGTCGTCCCCATTGGAAAAAAAAATCATTTTTTAACCTTCCCTCATGTTCATTTCATGTCTTGTCCAATTCCAAATCTGAAATAAATAAATAAAAAAAACAAAACAAAGAACTTTGCTTCTTCTTTTTTTCTTCTCCTCGTCGGTCTGGTTTTACATGGGGAATGTAACGTCGAACGTGGCTGCAAGATTTGCATTCTTCCCACCAGACCCACCAACGTACGAGGTTAAAAAGGAAGAAGATGGGCGGCTGGTTCTGCAAGGCGTACCGGCCGACAAGAACATGGATGTTCATTTGCTCGATACCAAAGGCGGTAATAAGATCGTCGCAACCTTTTGGAAACACCCCATTGCTCGTTTAACGCTATTGTATTCCCATGGAAATGCTGCCGATTTGGGGCAGATGCATGAACTCTTCACCGAGCTCAGGTCCCATCTTCGGGTTAATATCATGAGGTATACCTGAATTCATGAACTCAATAAAAAGTTCAAATTACTATATATTTTAGATTATTTGATTATATTTTTTATTAAAAATATATTTTTGTCTCCTTCAAATTTTATAAGTTCGTCTCCATCTTCCTTCTAACATAAAATCTTAAATCCGTTTATGCGTAAATCTCTGTATCGTCTTCCATCTTCATGAAAGGTTTGTGTTGATAAGAAAATTGTGGTTGTGGTGGCTCTTAACGGTTTACTCTTCATTTGAACGGACAACTAAAGTTTAAAACTGCTTTATTGCTCATTTTGCTATCAAATATTAAATTGTGGGAAGTCGCCACAGCTGTGATTCTCCTATCAGCAAATTGGTTTTTATATTATCATTTTGCTTTTGATTTTGTAGTTATGATTATTCAGGATACGGAGCATCCACTGGCAAGGTAAATGGGGCATTTAAGATTGTTTCCTTTCATCTTTGTATGATTTAATTAAAATGAAATAAATTTTTAAATTATATCTCTTATTTATTTTAGGTGTAATTATCATTTAAGGTTTCATTATGTCACCATTTTAAGGTCATACTGTCAACTACTACTAAAAAAAATCCACCAACAAATGATTACTTGACACATAGTATTATTTCTGATTAATATTAATTTTTTAAAAATGATAAACTCTAAATTTTGAAAGAAAAAAATAAGGATTTTGGGTTAGAGATTTAATGAATTTCGAAATTTTGAGTAATATAAGAAATTTTTAAAAATTAATGATTTTATTTAAAAAAACAAAAATATTACATATCAAACATTGATTGGATAATAATTTTTTTAAGCATCCAAACATTTTTTTTATTAATCTGTAAGGTAAGTATAAGATCAATTCCTTTACACCGAAATCGTTCGGTTCTGCAATAGTCGAACATCTTAAATAATAACTTTAAAAACGTTAAACATCTAATTTAATAAGAAAAGACGTAAAATGAATAAGAGACATAATTTAAATACTTGTTTCAATTAAGCATTTTTGTAATTTGAATTGCTTGAACATGTTTGCTAATTCTTGTGCAAATACAATATAGCCATCCGAAATCAACACGTATCATGACATAGAGGCGGTGCACAATTGTTTAAAGGACAAATATGGAGTTAAGCAGGAAGATTTGATTGTGTATGGCCAATCTGTCGGAAGTGGACCGACTCTCCATTTAGCTTCTCGTTTAAAGAAACTCGGCGGCGTTGTTCTTCACAGCGCCATCCTTTCCGGCCTTCGGGTCTTATATCCGGTCAAGATGACGTTCTGGTTCGATATCTTCAAGGTTTGTAACTTATTCTTTTATTGTCTAAATTCCCCCGTCGTTGCAGATATGATTGGAACTTGAAAGCTCTTTCTGATTGTATTTGTAGAATATCGACAAAATCCGGCACGTCAACTGTCCAGTTCTGGTTATTCATGTAAGTGATGTTCATGTCTTTGTCCTCTGTCTTTGTCGAATGATACCAATGGTTCATCGCAGGGAACGGAAGATGACATTGTCGATTGGTCACACGGGAAGAGATTGTGGGAACTTGCTAAGGAAAAATATGATCCTTTATGGGTGGAGGGTGGTGGCCATTGCAACCTCGAAACATTTCCGGAGTACATTAGGCATCTACGCAAATTCATAAAAGCGATGGAGAAGCTTTCGATTACGAAGCCGGCTAAACAGCTTACGTCTACCCCAAGCATTGCAGAAACTAACCACTGTAAATGCTTGAGATTGAAGACGAAGCGAAGTGCTTCGACAAAGGAATCATGAGTCCGAACACGTATAGTTTCATTGTCCTGCCCCATTGAATGGCAGCGGGGCTTGATCTGTTTCTCTGAAATTTATAAATTGATAGGGATCATAGATAATCTCTGATTCGGATTCGTTTTTTGAACTATCGATATTCATAGGGTTTCATGTATAATATTACAAAGTTGATTCTGTGTAAAAACTCAAAGCATTCAGCAAGAAAGAAAGAAAATCATTTACCATCTATGTTCTTCCCTATCCCCCATCTTAGCCCTGATCTTTGCATGAGATTGTAAAATTCGAATCGTTAAATGAATTTTGAATCGATTCATTTTGAATGTTTTCTTTTTCAACAATAGAAATGATGTAATGATACAGTTATGAATGTGTCCAACATTTATCATAGTCTGACATCTAAAATCAAGATGAGACGAGAGATAGAGCAGAGCAAGCCAATAAGGAATCGGCGGAGGATCAAACATTACCCGATTCGACTCATTCTGTTGTTATTCCTATGGTCCACCACGTTTATCAACATTCATCCTATGGCCTGGAACCTATGTAAATAATGCAGTCTCAGCTTCTCATGCAAAGCAGAAAATCTGAAAAAGAGATCTTATAGTAATAGGTCCACACAGTAGTATGACAGTTTATTCCCCTTCCCAACCTATTTGTCGAGCTCTTTGTTCCCACAATGTTGTAACTTTCCTCTCCCGGATTAGTGAGGCCTCGGCTCGCTCTCTTGCATCCTCGCAGGTTTCAGTGGCCGAGATACATTTTTCTGCCTCCTTTTGGTACTGGGAAGCCACCCTTTTTGCCTCACCAAAGGTGATGTTCATATGGCGGGAATGCTCTTCGGCAACAGCCTTCTGCAACTTCAACTCCTCCGTCAGAAGGTCCACGAATTGCTTCTCCATCTCTTGTTTGAGATCAGGGTCATTGCTTCCACAATCTGTGACATCATAGTTCATATCAGGCATACATGATCTTGGTTCATCAGATGAACGGACAGAGTACACGTTAGGAAAGAAGGGGAACGATTCAGTATAGATAAAAAAGTTGGATAGGAAGAAATTCGTCATAAATTAAACCAATATGAGTTGATAAAGTAAACTCTAACCTGTGATTGAGAGATTGCTCAATCCTGTAAAAGAAGAACAAAAGCACAAAAAAGATGAGTAATTCAGTGAGACAACTACAGTTTCGAGTAGCAGACACATGAACACTTGACGCAAACTTTTACAACTGTTGCCGCCAAAACTAGCAGAAACACGAAAGAAGGAAATCAACAGCGAAAATGCATAAGAGCTGCAGATTCGGCATGATATATCATCATCACAAGGTAATATAGTCCAAAGTTATCAGTTTACATGCAGCTAACTATCAATAGTCATTCCAGAAATTTAAAGACCAGTTCACCATCCTCGATGTAAAACCCAGAGAGGGTGTAGTTTACATCTCCCCACAGATTGACAAGTAACAAAATCACTAAACAAAGGAAACCGGACCTCTTTTCTATGACATGTTATTGTATGGTTAGTAAGCCCTAAAATCACGAAAGGTCGGTCGCCGTTGATAATGCAAAGTGAGAAATCATCGATCGAGTATCGGTTATCATGAGTGTTTAAGTATAATATTCATACTTTCTCTCATTGAGTGATCGGCGGTTAGTTTTCACACGTAACTGGCGTGTTTTTTTTAAGACACCATCACTCTTTTTTCCCTGTTTCATATACCACCATCTATCTGGTATTCTGGTTGCCTATGTTTTCTCCTTACCCCTTCTCGCCATTTTAGTTCTATAAAGATCAACCTTCTTCTTCAGATGGAAAGAGCGATACTAATTGAGTTTCATCTTCCTCGTATGGGTGTATGAATGTAATAATATAACATCGAATGGGGCGGCAGGGACAATCTCCACTCAAAATTCCAAATTCTCATATTTTAGAAATTTTCTTTGTATTTTCTATTAATAAATGAGAATATATTCTCAACAACCTAAAATTTTATAAATTTGTCCCCCTTAAATATTATAAGTTTGTCCACTTTGACGGAAATTCCAGGAAGGGGATTGAGTTTCATACTCAACATATGATTAATCAAGCACAAATCCGAATTCAAATTAGGGTTTACTTGCATAACAACAGCCAAGCAGAGACATTATCAACAGCAACAGATCAAAACCCCAAACAGAAGAAACATGAACTTCACAAAGACAACAAACAAAGCCAAAGCTCGGAATTCAAATTTAGCAACAAAAAGCAGATCAAAACTTCTAATTTCTCAAATGGGTATTCCATAAGTAAATCAAAAACAAAATCTAACAGCAAATCCAGAACCACAACAGAGGGGGGGGGGGAAGGAAAGGATACCAGGGGCAATGTTGAGAAGAGAAAGAGGAGGAGGACAATCACAGATGCAAGGAGGACAAGAGGATTTGGAATCACCCAGCTTGAGAGTTTTCTTGAATCTCCAGTAAAGAGCTGGTCCACAAACTGCAAGTGCTGATACTACAGCAAATGTTACTAGACATAGCCTCAAGCAAGTCCCTGATGATCGCCTTGACATCGTTTACTGTCTATCTCTTTACTTTGCTTCTCTCACTCTTTCTCTTATAGTGTTGATGGAACAGCGAGATCTGAACAGGGATGCATTGATTGGTGGCTATAAATATGAAATCTACTGCTTCAACTGCCTTTTTAATGTTTTCATTCTCACGTCTTTTTCCCATTAACCTTTAGTAATTAGCTTCTAAAGTCAGCTTTCACCAAAATAATCAAGGTTAAACTACATTATTTTATCACTCAATTTTAATTTTATTTCTATTTTGGTCCTTGAAATTTTAAAATTTTAATTTAACCACTAATTTTTTAATTTACTCACATTTGATTATTAGAGCATTAAATAATTAGATATTTAGATGTCATCCATCTCATATTTTCCTTTTTATCTTTTGATTTATTCTTCTTTTTTAAAGGTAAACTTTATAACTTATCTCTTTATCACATCAATGTCATAATAATTATTCTCTTATATTTTCTTCAACCATTCAAAATATCATTTAGCTTATCTCATCATCTCCTATCCTTCTATCAATTTAGAATTTTTTAAAATCATTTTAAAAGTCACGAAACTCAACTCAAAACTTAAAAGTAGTGAAACCCCAAAATCTAGATTAATTTATTAAATTAAATTAAAATTATGATTAAATTTATAAAATATGTAGATAGTAAGGATTAAATATGTAATTATACTAATTTTTTAATAACTACATTGACTACTCCATTAAATGTTAACGACTGATGACTTGCTTGACAACACTTAAATAATTAAGTAATTTGATTGACAAAATCAAAAGATCAATGGTCAAAATAAAATTCACTCATAATCAAGTGCTCATGAGTGTAATGTACCAAAATAATATAATTTTGATAAAAAAAAACTTGTGAAAAATGCATAGTACTAAATTATAATCGCAACATAATATTACTATCATATTATAACGATTTTCAATGTTATTACGACACTAAGTTCATATCCTTAATTTAAAAACGACTATTTTTAAGAAACAAATGATATTATAATATTCAAAATATCCGTAATCACGACATCATAACCACATTCATAATTTATACTATAAGACAAGGCCTAAAAAGAAATATAAGGTACGTTTTAAAAGGTCAATATCTAACCGATATGGAATTTATTTATTTTGCACTACCCACACTTTAAGCCATATTAGGCATACAGTTATGTTATATAAGAATCGCAAACATCCAGAAAAAGAAACCGGTAATTAAAAATCTGCTATTTCTCAGTACAAATAACAGTTACCATCGGCTTCAGGTGGTAGAACAAGGGAATGCCATAGCCGTCTTTGTCTACAAGTTTCACAGTATACTACAACACTGATTGTTTTTCTTAGCCTGATTGTAAAACATCTGTTCCAATAACCAAAACAGGTTTCATGTTAGCAACAACGTATTGTTCAACTCAATTCAGATGATGTGTAGTAAAGACAATAATAATTCCTATAAGAACATAAAAGTGGGGAGGGGGTAAAAAAAAGGTAAAAGTAGGGCTGACAACAAAATTGAAAAATCAATTTTCCTTTATTTTATTTGGAAGTTGAGTTTGAAAAATGATGAATAAAACAACAAAATCAAACAGAAAATGTTGAGTTCGAATAATCTTTTATTTAAAAATCGAACCAAACCGAATAACCCCTTACTACTTAGTATAAGAAACTAACATTAGAATAGTAACAATTATTAAAAATAAACTATAAGACATGCAACCAACGAGACCTTGGCACAGTTGGTAAGGACATACACCCAGATTTTACTCGTGTAAATCACGTGTGGGTTATTATCTCCAGATTTTATTATAATTTAAATTCTATCGTATGTGAGTTGTTCTAAATTTATTTCGATATGATTCGTGTTTTATAGCTATTAATTCCGATTCTAATTAGATATGTATGACTTGTGATTGTAACTACAAAAGAACAATAAGATATAGAGGATTATATTGTCTTGCACATGTACCTGAGATGCTGCACTCAGATCTGAACTCTTCTCAACCAAACTGTCCAGCTTCTCACCTCGTGCAAGCACGCTGTCAATAGTTTTATGCTGCATCCAAGGCATAGTCATTCCAATGATTGAGAGAAGGATTTATAATGAATCAAATCGTAGCTAACACAAGCATACTAATACTTTCAGCATTTCTAAAAGTTGCATTTTAAATGGAAAATCTACGGAAATCATGACATGTGAAGAGAATACAATGAAATAATTCAGCAGAACTAAAATCCTTTATAATCCTCAACTTGAGAACATGAAAAGAATACTAAGGTCTGGTTTAGCATTGCTTTTGAAACTTGATATGGAAAAACGCTTTTCAAACACAAAAAGATAACTAAAAGTGTAATTTTGGCTCTAAAAGCAATGCTAAATGGGGACTAAAAATATTTTCGACTCCAAAAGTATTTTTGAACCTCGAACACTTTTTAAAAGCGATGCTAAATGGGGTCTAAAACACAATCTCTTTATGGACTTAACAAACCATATGAAAACAATGCAACCATAGATCTTTTCCTCTTTTCTAACTGGCCACTTTACAAGTTATACCTAAACTTGAATATTTCACAGTACTTATCTTCCCTGACAATTTACAATAAGCTACAACTATCAGCAAACGACTTTTCCAGGCAGCAGAATTTTAAGGAGAAACAATTTATGAAACCAAAAACTTGACTCCAATATCCAACTGGAAAAAAAAACCCAAAAAAAAAGATTCCATAACATCATCCATATTCAAATCACATACACGATGACCTTAACGAATTTGCCCTTTATAAACAAATCTTTATGTTGAAATGATATAATTCATCACAGCATTACAAAGAAAAAAAGATTCAAGTATAGATAGTCAACAAAAAAGATCATTGGAGCTGAGTATGGCATAGTAGGATATGTAAAAGCAAATAGAAAAGTGCAGAGAATCATCATTTTCCCCCCAAAAAATAGCAAAATACTTACAAGGATGATTTTAGTCTCATCCAACTCCCTCTGAATTTTCAACAATTTATCAGCCTCTTCAGGGTCCTGAAAACGGTAAAAGGATAATATAAGGTGTGAGTTTAATTTGAAAAGTATAACTATACATCCCATATCAAAAATTTAAAACATAGCATAAAGAATGAGAAAGAAAACAGACACCTGAAACTTGGTCAAAGCCTCATCCAAATAGGGCCAAGTTTGAGTGCTATCAGCTTGTGCACTTCTCCATGATTCCCCAAAACTTTTCTGATATTCATCTACCACCTGCCAAACATTACCCTTTGAAATTTTCCAAAGAACTCACAGAGGATTCAACCTCGCAAACATATTTCAGAACACAATGAAACAGAAAACGATGCATACCAAACGTGATGAATGTGATCAACAAACTCTTGACATCATCTTAAACTATTAATGTATTATAGACACAGACACATCTACCATCCCCCATCGCCCTGTCCATCTAGTTATTTCTATCGGATGCAAAGAGAAAGGAACAAAACCTTTATCCAGATATCTAAAAATCAAAAAAGGACAACCATGTCCAACATATATGGTGGCAATCAACAAGCATAAACATGAGTTACCAGTGAAAAGCAATCAAAAGGTAATGGTATTTTAAGGAAACTTTTAACTATTATTGACACTTTCTATATATTTATTGGATCATAAACAGTTCATGCTGAAAAGGAGCAAGAATCCAGGGCAATAAATTTAAGAGTAGAGCTTGTGGTTACTGAATCTGGTGAAATTAGGCCAATACATAGGAGTAGAAGCTTCTGTTGTAAATAGAACAACAGTCAAAACCTGTTGCGCAGATAAATTATAGCTCATTATACAATAATCGAGTCTATGAAGATATATCCATTTAAAAGATCATAACCATCAATGAAAATGTCCTCTCCCCAATTCCTCTCTTCTTCTCACCTTTGCCTGTCCATTCATTTCCTGCTATAATCACTCTCAGGCTATGACACCTTGTATAATCGAACTAAAAATATACAACCAATGCAAAACAGCAATATTACAGTCAATAAGATTGGATGATATTGAATCTTAAGGCAAATCATGACACAGAGAAGATTGGAGTTACAGTTTGTATATATAATACCTGGTTGAGAAGCAAAAAAGCACTTCGAACGGGATAGTGACCATCCATAAATCCAATAGCACAAAGTCCAGTTCTGTTGTAAGAATGCACCATGTACTCTACATTAAAATCACCAAACATAAATGAATAAATAAGCATAATTCCCCGTAGCCTCGACATGTTCAACCGAATCATCGTCTGAAATCTAAAACAGAAATGAAATCGACAGAAAAAAAATGGAGAGCGCAATGTAATACAAGATAATACACAAAAGATCTGAAGACAGTGTTAATGTTATTGATCTAATTGCCAGAGATATTAATAATCAACGAAACAAATAACACAAGAATTAACGAATAAGAAATAACCTTCGTGCTGGACGGACTGGCGCTGGCCGGGAGGGGTTCGTTTGGCGACGGTTCGAGAGACAAAGACGATAAACTCCCTGATGCTTGGCCTTTGGAAGTAACCGAAATGGCTAACATCGGATGCGTTGGCTAGTATTATGGGATCTGATCCTTCTGGGTGGCATTTCAATACTAATAACGATGTAATCTTCATCTTTCCCTAGCAATCACAATTTCTGTCTCTTGATCTTTCTCTCTGTAGAAATATCTTTTTTCTTTGTTCGGATCCGTAAGAAACGAAGTTGGAGGCTTTTTCTTTCCTGGATTCTTGGCAATAAAACCAACAGCACCATGCAATGTTGAAATATTTTCTCCACTTTAAATATTATAAAATTATTATATAAATTTATAAAAATACCAACAATACGTAGTTTGGGAAAGGGCTAGAGGTTTAAATTCTTATGTTACGAATAAAGTAATTCGATTTAAAATAGATCTTTATAATATTCGATTCGTATTAGTTAGTCAATAAGCTGGATACTAATAGTTATACCAAAAATTATAGTAAAATATATAAAAACTTTAAAAATATAGTAAATTTGGTTTGTTTAGTTTTTTTAATAAAAGATGAATCAAATCGCACTAAGGTTTAAAAAATATTGAAATCGAATGATATGAAAATTGAAATTTTTGCTTTGATTCGGCTTGGTTTTACGATTTTAACCGTTCACCACCTTTCAAACTCAACATCTAAAGAAAGAAAACTTCAAGTTTAATCTGAATGTAAATATACAAGTTTAAATTCATGATAGTGGTTGAGTTTTTTGGATTTTGCAAAGGCAAATGCAGTTTCTGAATTGGTCAATTAGAAGTTAGAGTTTCCATTTTCATTTTATTTTTCAGCCGCTCCTCTTCCTTCACTTGCCTTGATTGAGCTCATTCTAGCTTCGAACTTCGTAATTACTTGTGGCAATTATGCTAAACTTCATTCTTCATCACATTAGCAGTGATGCTAAATATGCTCAATATTTCATTGATATCATCCGAATAAGATTGTAAATAAAGATTCCCATTTCAAATATAAGGATAATGATCCGTAAATCAAATGCCATTTACAGGGATTGTTGAATAGAAGCTCAAACAATCGAAAAAAGAAAAACTGGAAGCAAATGTATACAGAATTCAGACAGTTTTTTACATGATCTCTCTGCCCCTCTGTCGGACTACAATTTTGTTCACGATCTCCCCTGCCGAGGTAACAAAGTAGGTAACCTGCCATAGAAGGCTTTGAAAGTTGCAGGCAATTAAAAAAGAGAGAAGATTTTGGAAATCCAATCCAATGCCTAATACCAATATTTATGGATACTTCTGAAGTTCAAAATGAATCTGAGTACTTACCATCTCTAACGAGTTGAGTCTATGGAGAAGAAACCCATTAGTCATCTCTCTGAGAAACAACAAGACGAAGAATGTTCGTTTCTTATTAGTATTCGAAATATAAAACAGATTGACATGAGGTGTCCAAGAATATAACTCACTTTCTAGCTTGGTATCTTTCATTGGCAGAGTCTGAAAGGAATTTCTGTTTAGTCAAACCTAGGTAACTTATATAAGCAACACTATCTTGAAGGGCATAGCTTAAGCAACCTTGCTGACTTAGGTAAACATTCTAGAAACAAGCAGAATATTACGAGTCAGTCTAAGCATCGTGATTACCAGTAATGTCATGTTTAAAGAAAAACAATGGTTTTCCTTTTTATTTCATTATGATACTGAATTCAAAGAAGTCTCACCACTCCAAACTTAACAAATTTTTGGTGTAGAGGCTCATTAATCAGCTTTGCAACCGATTGTTCCTCGTCCTCTTCACATGCAACCAACGGATGGAATCCAACTACTACCCTCCTGAATTAACAGATCATACAACCATAACTACTGTTAGGGGTGGGTTCGATAATAAAGAGCTGAAACTCAAAGAGTAAGCTTGTGTGCAAAATCAGTACAGGTCAAGAAAATATAGATCATTTCTCGAAGTTTTCACTTCAGCAGGCAGGCTGAACAATAACCAAAGAACAAGAAATGCAAGATTTCTTGCTTAAAGCAGAAGGAACTTAGCTGGACTATCTTTCAGTTACAGATCTTTACTATTATCATCGAGATCAGAAATGAGAAACCTTGTCAAATCCAAGTTAACTAAACCACTGAAAGACTAAACTATGACCAACCAACAAGATATTGTCTCGTTTACCAGCTACTAATGGTTGCTTTTAGTGTCCTTGTAAGCCAATTCGACAACCTGTCCCTCGTGCCACTTGATGATCCCGCAAGTTCTGTGTCCTTACAGTTTCATAATGAGCCCAAATTAGAGGAAAGAAGAAAGATTATTAACACATAACTATGCTCATAAATACACTACATCAAACATACTCTTCTCTAACATGTAGGGCCTCTCAACATGGTAATATCTCGATACCCGATCTATGAGGTTTAAAACCAGGAACTATGATAGAAAAGTAGAATAAACAACTAACAGAACATAACTTCCACCAACCTCAATATTCTAAGCGATGGTGCAGGAGTTAGTGGGATTTTCTTTTTAAATCTCATCATATGTGCAGTCAATAAAGAACAAATTTAAATGCAGAATTCGAAAAAAATATCCACCTGCAGTGAAGAAGTATTTAAACCGATGATATCTAACATTTCCCCACCGGGCAGTTTTATCTGCTGGAGAAAGCAACCAAGTCCATCACGTTTAGAACCTCCAGTAGTATACCTACAACAACCATTACCCATCACTACTCACAGAAGCAAGGGTGGCAGATGCATGCAAACATCAAGCGCGGCTCATGGGGGGAGCAGCATGAGCATCAGCAATGTGTTTGACATTATTGTAACTTAGTGGCTGCCCCTTATTGTTTTAGTTGTATTTAAGGAGCTTTCCTAACAAAACAATGAAAATAATGTGTTTGACAAAGTTTAATTATGTTTCTACGATATATTAATAAAATATTAAATTAATTATTCGAAGGAACGGAATATGCTTTTGTTCTAAAGGGGGCCATTTTTGAGTTTTCACTCAGGATCCCGAAAATGTCCGAGAAAGCCCTGGTAAACATATTATCTTTGTATGATGCAGCACACATAAAGCTTCAGCATATGATGCTTCTGCACCCCAAGAGAGACTGAATTGGAAAATGGCAAGAGGATCGAATACCAAGGAATATTCAGTAATGGAGAGAGCCTTGTTACCTACAAAACATATATTTAGATTCATTACTAACCAAAAAAACCAAGCTAGAGATAAGTTATAGGTTAATTTCTTGTTGAAAAGGATTTTCATTGTATGATAAGCAATTGGAGAAAAATGCAGAGAGGACTTACGTTCTGCACGAGTGGATCATCCCCCCCAGCTCGCAAATATTCACCACAAACTTTACATCATAAGCTTTCACCACAGTCTCCATCTGCATCAAGGACAAAGAAATTTTCGTTTTCTATAGAAAACCCAAAATTTTCCTATTCATCTTAATAGAAATTCAACAAATTCAACAATCATCAACTCCATAAGCCAAATATACAATCCAAAACACCACCACCCCATGAAGAAAGGGGAAACAAAAGTGATCCGACAGTGTCTAAATTCTCAATGAGATTGATATTCCGATAAGAGAACTAAACGGAAAAAGAAGAAAGAGGAAAGAAACAGAGAAACTAACGAGTTTGAGAAGATGGGTCTGTTGTTGAATTGATCTGAAGCCTCCTCTGACGCTGATAAAGTAGAGATCAAGGGGGGTACGGTTATGGTTATAAAGCAAGTTTTGAGGGCGACCGAAGTTGATAACAAGGAAGAGAGCAACGCAAAGGGAGAGCTGAATAGTCAAAGTACGAAGCCACGATGGGGATCTCTCCATTGGTAGCTCTGCAAAAACTGTTTCTTTCAAAATGAACGATATAGTTTGCTTTTATTAATAACCTATATAAAAAAATGGTATTAGTAAATACTTTACTACTACCTAGATAAAATAAATAGCGTAAATTACATTAGATACACTAAATTTTAATTGATGCACTATTCATATCACTAAACTTCCAATTATTTTAACTATAACCCTAAACTTTAACAAACCTTTAAGGTGCGTTTGGTTCACGGAATGTAAGATTACCAATGAGAATAAAAGATTACCAGAGAATAGGATTACTGGGAATGTTGTATTTTGTGTTTGGTTGGTTTAGCAGAAATGTAAGATTACCGTGTTTGGTTAAAGGAATAAAAGATTATTGGAATGTATATTTGACCAAATTGTCCTTATTATATATTTATTTTTTAACAAGTTGAAAAATATTTATATATTTTCTTTAAAAAAAATTAAATTCATAAAATTTATATAATTTTTTTTACAAAATTTAAAAATAAAAAGGTTTAATGAAAGGGTAAAATTTTATTTTAACCCCTGAACTTCATATAAAATTTTAATTATAGATTTTTTTTGTAAATCTAAAATAGTTTAAGGAAAAATTTGTAATTTAACCTTTGTAGAATTTTTATTATTCAATGACAGATTAAGGATATTTTTGAAGAAAAAAAAATTTAAGGGTATTTTAGTCCAAAACGTCGGTAATCCAACAATACCTAAGGAAATAGAGGTAATGACATTCCCGATAATATACCCAAAAAATCTACTATTGGTAATGTAAGATTACCGAGAATGACATTCCCGACCAACCAAACAGGGGAATGTGGATTTCATTCCCATGGGAATCTCACATTCTCTCAACCAAGCACACCCTAAGTTATTGTGATGATATGTAAAGTTGACAATTGTTTTGATGTGTATATTGATACCCAAAACAATATCGTTTTAGACTCTAAAGTTTAGGCATGTATTGATTTTGTAATTAAATTTTAAAGAGATTTAATTTTTGGCATTAAACTTTTTCGACTGTTACTATCAATTAATTGTCACCCTTCACAAGCTGTCATTTGCGTTGAGATCAATATCAAAGCGTTCACATTTCTTTATGTTTTCTTCTCATTAAATTGATTTTTAACTAAACACACCAAAAATCGATGAAAATTCATCTAAAAATTCAATATGTTAATACTCTAACATCCTCTGATGATCATCCGATGAAGTTAATTTTGAGATATTTTGTTTATCTTCTCGAACTAATATTTTTCATCTTTTGAATTTCAAAAAACAACTCAATCCCATCAAATTTGAGAAAACTACAAAACCCTAAAAAAGATATATTTTCTATTAATTTCATCAATTTTGGGTAATTTTTGTAAAAAAATCAATTTTAGGAGAATAAAAATAAATGAAATACGAATAATTTGATATCAATATTATCGCAAATGACGACCGATAAAACATAGTGATACATTGTCAACAATGACTAAAAAGTTTAGTATATAAAAGTGAACCATTTAAAAGTTGGGTAAACTACATAGTTGGACACTAATATTTGAGTAAGTTTCATTTTCATCACTGATGTTTCAAAAGTCACAAATTGGTCACTAACGTTAACGATCGTTAACAAGCGTGTCTTTCTTCTTCTTCCATAAACACATTTTTTCTTCCATAAACCCATTTCTTTTTCTTCCAAAAACATTTTTCTTCTTCTTTCATAAACTCATTTCTTCTTCTTCCATTAATTTGAGAGAAAAAATAGAGAGAAAAATGAGCAAAGAAATGAGCAAAGAAAAACCATTATACTTACATGAATGTTATAGCAAAGGGATACAACGCTATGCTTTATGGTTAGCTTCTTTTGGGTTTGATAGGAAAAAAAACCTTAGCTGGGCATCCACAATTCTAAAGCTGAACATAATGGAGCCTTCCATCTTCACAAAGTTTCTTTCTCTTACAATTTCAAAAAAAAAAAAATTAAAGAATAGAGATATGAATGAAAAACCCTAAATTAAGTATAAGGATTGTGATTTTTTTAAAGGAGAAGAGGTGATCCTTAAAGGCTTTTGGGTCTCTAACGTGGCAGTCAACCCAGTCCATGTAATCAGTTCATACGTCAAATGTGTTTTTCCGTCAAGCCTGTTAACAACTATTAACGTTGAATGACCAATTTGTAACAAACGATAACGTGTTAGTGATCGATTTATGACTTTTGAAACGTTAGTGATAAAAACAAAAATTTACTAAAAAATTAATAACCATTTACATAATTTACCCTTAAAAGTTTAATAGTAAAAACAATACTCTTAACATTTAAAATGACGCCGTATTAGACATCAATAATCAAACCAAAACAATATCATTAATCCATACCATCATATCGTTTGAATTTAATTAAAGCAAAATTTCAGAGATATCGCTGGTTCAAACGCACCTTCAATTGAAATTCTAGCAAGAGAAATCCAATAAACCTATAATTCAAATTTTAACATCTACAATGCCTTTCCCAATACTCAAATTGCAACTTCTCTCGAGGGGAGAAAACGAAAGAAAAAAAAATCTAATCAACCGTGGGTATACACAAATAACGGTGTCGCACACTCGTACATGCCACCATTCTCCAAGTGTCTTCTCCAGCCATGGCAAGAGCAAAGCATCCCCATCCACTTGCCGGTTAGCACAAATTTCCATTAAAAAAACTGAAAGCTAAGGCAATAAAACAAGTTCCTGCTCCGGTGCCATTAATCTACACGGCCGTCACCAAATACGTGCCACCATTTATGACTAGTTCAATGTTACATTCTCTAGTATATACAAAGTATTTTTTTTGGGTGGGGGGGGGGGGAGTACATGGCCAGGAACCCTTATGCAGGACCTTTGGGGGTCACACAGCAAAAATGAGGGTTTACTTATTCCACTATTACTTGCTTATCCACCTTCGTTTTCGGGCTGGTCTCTCTGGTTTAATCTCGGAATCTGCAGGAGTTTCATTCATTGACGAAGGCAGTGCCTCGTTCTCCAACTTCTATATTGACACGTCATCTTTTTCCTCGGGCATCGGAAGTTTGAACCTCTCGCTCCGCTTCTTCAGCTTCTCGACAGTGTCAAGATGCCGATCCTCTGATGGCCTTGTATCAGCATCCTTGGTCTCCGGCTCGCGGACACTCTTCTAGTGTTTTGTTAGATTCTGAAGCATCCACATTATTGATCTTCTCGATCTCATTGAACTTTGAGGAAGATGATGACTTGCTGATGATACTATAATCCCTCTCCTTATGGCTCGTCCAACGTTCCGATTTGGAGCGCCCCTGTGTCGACTCTTTCTGTTCATCACCCGAAGAAGCATCTTCTCTGCGTTTTCTGGAAGAGTTATAATGAACCGGATTCTTATTCTTCTCGTCACTTTTCGAGCCCTAACCAAGGCAAAAGGTAACAGTAATAATGACACAAAACCATTACACTGGTTATAAAACTAACAAGTAATAGCAATGTTCAATCAAAAATTGCAATTTATGATGCAAAGGAGAAATCTAAGAACCAAAGTGCTAATAGCTCAAATCCAACTTTGCTTTATGTTCAATCTATAGATCATGTTATCTGAAATTAAGCTTACTGTCAATGGTAAATTACCATTTTCTTCCAGAAGTGAAACCTTTTACATAATTAAAATGAAATGTTAAAATAAGAGTAACTTTGTTTACAAAGTTAAAGAAGATTTACCGAGGAATCCTTCCCCTCCAATTTCTTCCCCAATCCCTTCCCTCAATCCAAACCCAGAGTTTCTGTAGCAGCAGCGGGTGGATGAAAATTAAAAGTCGTTAGGGTTTGAACATCGGGGATTGGACGCGGCGCTCCGAGGAGGTTATCGTCGCCGTCTTGGGATTGATGATTGGAATCAACCGGACGACGGAGTTGGGGGTTGTAGAAGGCTGAGACGGTAGCAGAGCAATGGAAGAGAAAGGCTTGAGAACGTCGGTGTAAAGATCTCCGAACTCATCGTCGTCTTCCATGGGAGTTCCTCGAAAAGAACAAGAAAGAGAGGGCGAGACGGGAAAAGCAAAGAGAGAGAGGATTATGGAAAAGGGTTTTGAATGTGTTTTTTAACGTTCGTTTGGTTCTCCAACCTTTTTTTAAATAAATATTATAATCTCGATATTTTTTTTTTATTTTTAGACTTTTAAATTTAAAATATATATAATATTAAAAAAAATAATATTTAATAATATAATCGTTTTGATTTTTATGGTTTTTGTTAGTTTAAATTATTTATTTTATTTTATCAATGAAATAAATTTCATTTAACTTATAATCTTATTTAAAATTAATAAAGATTAATTTAAATAAACAACGAAAATGTCATCATTGAAGTAAAACATTAAACTCATAACCTCCAATAAAAAGAGTATACAAAACCTAAAGTAAATTAATTACATCAATTAAACATTTTTCTTAAAACCGTCAAAATTAAAAATGATCTGTTAAATGAAAAATAAAATCATATAAACAAATAGTTAAAATAAAATATACAAATATCATTGTTGTCTACGATAAAGAATAAGATAAATATCATCAACGTAAATATAACAGTATAATATAATAATACATTGACAATTAATTTTATCATAATTTAAATGTAATATATTTAGATCATTGTTTCAAGGGCGCTGTAATATCATGACCATGCAGTTCCAACTTCTATAATCAGATAAGATTCAAACTCTGAACAAATGACTCGAAAATAGAAAGATTCGAGGCACTGGAATAATGTTTTCTACATGTTCCAGCAAGTTTCACATGAAGATGACAAGAAAAAGAAAAGAAAATGACAAGATTTTTCCTTTGATTCACTAGGGTTCATCTTCCATCCACAGCACCAAGCCAAAACAGCTCACCGACAAGTTTCTCGGTCTTACGATCACCCAAGACGCATGCTTTCATCTTCATGAACACACGGCAAGTAACCAAACTATCCGAACC